CAGGTCGGCTGGGTGGTAACTACAGGTAGCTGGGGGGAAGCAGGTTCCTAGGGTCTGCCTTGAAGCTCTCCAGGGCTACCTTGTCGCCAGAGAGCAGAGCTCTCCCTCTCCTTCCTCGCTGTCACGACTGAGCTATTTCCCCTCCTGCCCTTCTGCCACGATGCTGTGCCTCAGACCAAAGGGGGTGACCCAGTGACCTGACTTCCTTCCCCTGGGCCTGCCGACCGAAGGGCCTTCCCTCCCCAGAGCAGCCCAGGCTGGGCATGAAGCCTTCCAACTGGCTCTTGGGGGACATTTAAGACCCAAATCATTAGACACAGACAACTTTGACTCCTACGTCCTTTGCCTTGGTGTCTGAGTTCTCTGACTAAGTAACATGCTGAGTATAAATCATAACTAAATACTGACTTAGACTAATATCCTGAAGAGTGAACAGCTATCTAAAAATAAAATATTCATGAATGTGAGTTTAATTATAGCTTCGTGTGATTGTTATTAAGGATCATCATTTGTGCCTTTAGGAAGATGGTTATGTGAAAATATTCCTCCTTTAGCAACTCTTTTGACTGCAAAATTCTCATATGCTTGTGGAATTTACATTGTGCCCATAGATTTTGATAGCCATCATAAAACAGGGAATTCAAACAGATGATTATAACTGACAACAGAAATGTAACTGTGAACTTTAAAAATATGCTAATGCTTGTCCTCATATAGAAATATTAGCCTAAGTTCTTTCTGTGACATATGTGTATGTGTTTATCATCTATTTTTGTAATCGAGTGGAAAAAAAAAACACTCAGCTCCAAAAATATCACTCTCCCCTTTGACATTTATCATGGATAGCAATAATGTCAGAGAGCATTAGTGCGCGAAGGAACTGTAGAGAGCCTTCCTAAAGTACGTCTTCAGGTTTTATTTCAAAACAGTTTGATAAATATCCTGATCCCTGGCCTAATTTTAATATTGCCTAAAATGAAATCCCTAGATCCCGGATGGTGAATATGTTGATCTGATCGTCTTTATAGACTCAGGGCAAGGAAAGCATGAAGCCCATCAGAGGACCCTAAAAATGATTTGGGGTGGACAGGTGGACGGCAGGAAGAAAGGAAGGAAGGATAGATGGATGGAAGGACAGATGAAAGAGTGGATCCATGGGTTGCCTGTTCTCTCCAAAAATAAGTAAGGAAAAATGCATAGCTGTTTCTGTGTTGATATCATCTTAGTTCAGAAAAAGGCTGGTTTTCTTCTAACATAATAAGACAAATACAAGTCAAGTTGTGAAGCCATTATTATCATAGCAATGAATCCGAACGCCTGTCTCCAAGCATCTTTTGCTTTCAAGCGCACCCTCCTCTTACTTCTCCTGGAAGCTCATTAACCATCATGATCTTCCCTCCCTCAGAAGTCTTCCCGAACTCCCACAGGGACCCACACGTCAGGCTTCACTGACAAGGGAGGGCTCACGATTTAGAGGTCCTAGTTACTCTCAGGTGGTTCCCCTCGTGTTCCTGCCACCTCCTTCATAGGCCAGGGTATTCGGATGGGAACGTGGTTTTCCCAGTGATGCTTGAGGAGTTTGTGAGGCCTTACTGAGAGGGTGGTCCTACAGCTCCTAGTCCCTTAGGTGTTTCGTCCTTGAGACGCGGAACCAACCCAAGGAAAGGAACACTTCCGTCCTGTGGAGATTCTGTGTGGACCCTGGCTGTTGCCCTGCTTTAGCACCTGGCCCTCCCCTTGAGTCCCACTCCTGCCTCACCTTCTCTGACCTCGCTCTCCTGCTCTCCACCTGTTCCTCCGCCCATCCTTCCTCAGAGTCCACTCCTGCGTCCTGTCCATCATCCAGCCATGACTGCTGACCTTGCTCAAGGCGTGCCCTCAGCCTCTTCAGTTCTCACCCTATACCGCACCCTTAGGCCACGCCATGGAGGCATCCTCACATCCCCACTGCTAAGCCCCAGCGCTACACACCTAGTCTAAGTCTCTCCCCAGCTCCGGGCCTACAATACGTAGGTGACCACCAGATCTCGGCACCAAGGCCGCCCACGTTCACCTCACACTCCTGCCGCACATCCTGCGCTTGGCTGGTGGATGCCCCGCCTCAGCACCCTGTGGCTGCGGTTGGGCCTCCTAGAGCGCCATCAGCAGAAAACCAAAACATTTTAGTGCCTGTAGCAGCCACTGTGCTAGACCTGGGGGACACAGAGAGGGAAAACATGTCCCACTGTGAAGGAACGTGCACCGTAAGAGAAGAGGAAGACCAGCAAAGCCGCCAACAGAGAGCAAACCCCCGGAGCAGGGGTGGCGGTTCAGAAGGAAAAGACCCAAGTCCCAGCAGGGGGCAGGGAGCAGTGCAGCCTGAGACGTGAGGGAGAGGCGGTGGCTTCCAGGATGAGCAGCAGCCTTTTCAGTAAAGGTGGAGACGGAGAGGGGTGTTCCAAGGAGAAAGGGAAGTGTGGGGAGAGGCGCGGGGCATGATGGCACACCTGATTCGTTCCCCTGGTTGAAGCTGCAGGTTGTTCTGAGCCTGGAGGAAAGGGGATCACGTAACAGGTAACAGCTGCGTGGTGTGTTCCTGTGTGTGCACGTGTGTCGGGGGACGTGGGGAGGGAGGGTGGGAGCAGAAGAAACTGGCCAGGCAAGTGGGGGCCTGTCCTGAAAGCAGATGTCTGTTTCATTCTCTTCCATGAAGTGTACTTGGTACTTCCTGTGGAAAGGGTAGGCTGCTGAACTTCGGGGCTGATATCCACTTAAGTATGTATAAACTAATACAAGTTGACATCAAGTTAAAAATACACGGCACATGACTTCCAGCCATGTTCCACAGAAATCCACAGCAATGAAGGAAGTGTTTAGCGAGTCAGTACACGGTGGGTCCTTTTCTAAGCCTCTTTGGCCAACTCTGGACAAAATGTCAAGTCAGGTTAAGAAGAAAAAGAAGGGAGAGGAGGCTCATGAGGAGAGGGGGAGGACGAGAACGAGGTGGAAGAAGAAAAGGAGCAAAGAAGAAACAGGAAGACCCGCAGCCCTGTGTTCGGGTAGCATGCTCTCCTGCTGAGACGGTGTTAGCAGGAGAGGGAATGTGGCAGATCAAACTGATTTTAAAATGTCTTACATACAGCCAGGAACAGCGGCTCTCCCCCCCGTAATCCCAGCAAATCTGGAGTCTGAAGCAGGAGGTTTGCAAGTTCAAGGCCAGCTTCAGCAACTTAGTGAGGCCCTAAGCAACTTATCCAGACCCTGTCTCAAAATTAAAAATGAAAAGGACTGGGGATATGGCTCCATGATCAAGCACCCCTTCCATACCTGCAAGTCTCACAAGAAACATCAAATGTGCCACCTCAATCAGCGGTGGAGGAGTTTATTCTGCTGTCCTTGAAGACACACGGGCACCCTTCTCTTTGGTGGATTTTAGCTAAGAGCACCTAGAAAATGCCTCATGATGGACTCCAGCTCTTCTTCATTCCTTGGATAACGAAGGCAAGAGAACCTTCTTTAAAGGACAGCACCAAGAAGAGCTTACAAAGAGACACTGTGAACATTTGAAGACATTCAAAACCCACACGGTGCATACCACCAAGTCAGAGGCTGTGTTCGCTGAAGGGAGATGACTACCATGTCCCAAAGCATCACGGTACAAAAGGAGGCAGGCTGGCAGGGAGAGGGGTGGGCTGCCACGGGGGACGTGAAATCCCGTGGTGCGGGGCTATGGTGGATGGGGTCATTGGAGAGCAGGGGGAGATATCCAGGCCCTGGGCGTCCAGGGTTGGCTGTGTGAGCAAAGAGCAGTCCCTTTCCTTTCTGTGACGACTGGTGGGGTGACGCACAGGTGTGTTCCCCTCTGGTCCATAGCATCAGAGTCGGTTCATCTGAACAACCTGTGAATGTGCTTGAACTGGAAAGGAGGTTGCGTTTATGGGCTTTATAAATACATGAACTTGCTGCTCCCAGGGTGCATGAGGATGTGTGAGGTAAGGCTGGAGAGCGGCAGAAACAGTGACATTCCAGGGTGTGTTTAAAGGATCTGAAATCCCAGGGAGTTTGCCAGGTTCAAGAGGAACCCTCTGTCTCTTGTCCAAGCTGAACATTCCATCTTTACAAGGACTCCTTTGTTGTCGTGTTTACCCACAGACTGATAAATGCTTGACCTTTTTTAGTGATGAAGGAACAGCCTGTGCCTTGGGAGCATATTATTTCAGGAAACACAAAGGAAGAGAAAGTCCAAGCCCCGGGGACAGATGGACTAAATGTTTGGGGATTGGAACCACATGGAGCCAGGCAGGAGCTGGGAAGCAGACTCGGAGGCCTGATTGGGCACCTGGAAACGGCACCAGCCTTCCCCACGTTTCCAGGCCCTCAGGTGAGTGTGGAGCTGGACACCAACTCACCTGGGAGGGGACCAGAGGAGCCCAGTGCTGCGTTGACGCGAGCTAAAGTGGACACTGATTGACAGAAGTACCTGTGGTCTGGAGGAAGTGTTGATCTCTCAACTTTTGGGTTAAAAAACGAAACAAAACTAATACCCTCAAGCATTTCCTTCTACCTAGAAGGATGTGTTCTCATGAATAGACTGAATTGTCACCCACCTTAGGAGTCAGCACTGTTCATGGTCACACATACCTATTTTTTAAAAAATGGATAGAGGGCTAAGCGACCTCCAAGAGGCACCACGTGTTGGAGTGACTTTGAGCCCACTTACATAGACTCTTGCCTGAGCCCCTAACTCCAAGCCACACGCCTTCCCAGCAGCCCTGGTGACCACCAGACTCCCGTGGTCCCCAGGGCTTCCCTCATCCCCTACTCCAGACAGGAGCTGCTGCTCCACTAGGGCCAACCCAAGAGCATCCAGTGCCCTTGAAGTGCCCCACGCCTCTGTGTGCCTTGGGAATGACACCCCGGCAATCATGGCCGTGGCTCTGGGTATTGCCATGAGGTCTGCCACCATCGCCCATCGCACATCAGATGGGATCGTTCCCATCCCAGAGGACGACAGTCACCGATAACGGAGACAGCATGTATTTTGAACTTTGAAAACGATCTAACCTTTGATTCGAGAAGGCTTGACTTTGGAGATTAAGGGTCAACACGAAATGTGGGATTCCGATGGAACCTAAAATGCCCTGGGAGGAAGCAAAGCAAAAGGAAGGCCTGGGTTGCTGGGCCCGCTGGACTCCTGCTGGCGCTCCCCGCACACGGTGCCCAGTGTATGGCCCGAGACTGTGAGGAGAGACACTGGGTGGGACTGGTAACAGCTCTGTTCCAGGACAGCCCCGTGCTGGGGTATCCGCTGTGTCCTCTGGTTCAGGACCCCTGGCCGTTGTATGCCTCCTATTCCCAGAATCCTCCACGCTCCCCTCACGCAGGCCTGTTTCGGAAGCGATCGGATCAGCACGCTCAGGAAAGCTTAATGGGAGGCTCTCCCACGGGAGTTCATTTTAACAGAAAACGGAGCCTGGGAACAAAGGTGCAACAAGATCCCAAATTTAACTCGCTCTACTCGGGAGTGGAGATGTAAAAGGTAGCTCTCTTAGAGTCCATAAAAATCTAATCTTGCTTTTCCAGCCTTAGTCATGCCGGAAGATGGGAGAAAATGATGTCAAATTGCTCCTGAAAGCCTGCTCCGTCTTTTCCAGATTGAGAACCTGATTTTGAATCATCCCATTCCTCACTGCTCTCCTGCATTAGTTTTCTGTTGCTGCTCTGAAAGAATTAACACACTGTAGTGCTTTACAACAGCATGTTTGTCATCTGCTGCTTCTGTAGTTTGGAAACCCAATACAGGCTAAGGTCAAGGTGTCCTCGGGCCGTGACCCTCTCTGGAGGCTGCAGGGAACAGTGTATTTCTTTGCATTTCCCAGCTTCAAGGTCCACCCTGTGGTTCCTGGTGTTTTCCTCACTTCCAAGCCAGCACCTGAGGCTAGAGTGCCCACATCTCTTCCCTCTGACCTCCTTTTTCCACACGTAGGACCCAAGATTACACTGAGCCCACCCAGATAATCCCAGATAATCTCCCTATTTTAAAGTCAGCTGATGGGCAACCTCAATTCCTTCTGCAATCTTAACTTCCCCTTGCCACGTAAGGCCATCGCCAGGCCTTTGTCCCGTAAGGCAACTGTCAGTGTGCAGGGCTGGGATGTGGTCCCCCGTGTATGGGGGACATTATTCTGTCTGCCATACCAGCCTTTCCAACTGGTTCCTTTCCCTTGTCCTTCCCAAGATGGTGCCTGGGCACGTGAGGGTCAGCAGGAGGGGGTCTCAGCTCCAAGGCTGTGTGTCCTCTGACTCCTCGTGGTGTCCACCATAAAGAGCTGGGCTGGGCTTGCTTCTGGCTGAGCTGGATCCCACTGATTAATCTGTGACAAGTAAAGTTTATGGTACAGTTATGCACACAAAGGTTTCAGTCCATTACAGACCCCATATGACAGTGGTTCTGTGAGAGTAAAATAGAGCTAGAACACTCTTACCTAGCAATGTCCCAGCAGGGTAAGATCGCAGCACACGGTACTCCTCGTGTGTTTGTGGTGATGGTGTGTGCAAGCCTCCGGAGCTGCCAGTCACGGGGAAGTACAGCACAGGTGACTGTGTGCAGTGGCACCTGCTGATGATCATGAACAGCCAAGTTGCTGGCTGTGCATGTACTGTACGATCCTTTTTGTCATTGTTTTCAAGTATTCTTCTACTTGGTGAAGGAAAATCATTGTAAACGGCGCCCCATATTTTGCCAGCCACCACCTCATGCTCCCTGTTTTTACCAGGTCTCTCGATTGCAGGGCTGCAGCTGGCCATTGACGGAACCTGGTGTACACAGTGTACGGCCCAGGTGTGGACGGTAGGCTGCCCATCCAGGTTTAGACAACTCCACTCTACGGCGTTCCCACAGTGACAAAATCACCTAAGGATGCATTCCTCAGGCCACGCCCCGTGGTTAAGTGACGCACAATGGTGGTCACCCTCTGCAGTGTGACCAGCCACCTCGAAACTGAGCACCAACACCAGCTCAGTTCTGGCTATTGGAACATGATTTCTCACGATTCTGCGACTGACCACCCTGCCCCGACACATTTCTGTTCCACGTGGTGTGACCAACGTCACTGTGCAGCTGTGCTCTGCTGGGGACTTGGTGATGATGGGACCTCTGAGATGGCCTTTGCCCCTCCAGAGCATTTTCCCTCCTGTCCCCCTATTATTCAAGAGGGTGACCTGAGTTTCTCCACCATGTGGCAGCTGTCTCCCAAGAGAAGGACGGCAAAGGCCGCCAGGCTGTGTGGCCAAAGTGGCACAGCCTCCTGCTGCCACCGTCAGAGCAGGTGCCAGGGCGCCAGCCTCAGGGGAGGGAAAGCAGACTCCCGGCCTCTGTCCACA